AGAGGTCTGGTGGAGCAAGGTTATGTGGGATCCATTGTAAAGACCTTGGCTTTTACTCTGGGTAAACTGGGGAGCCATCGTACAATTCTGAGAAGAGAAGTGAAGCAATTAGACTTTCTTTTTTTAAAGGATAACTTTGGCTGCTGTGTGGATATAGACTGGTCTAAAGTCAGCAGATTCTGAGTGTATTTTGTAGGTAGCATGGTTGGAAAGTCCTAAAGGATAGACTGAAGTATGAGAGAAAGGGAGGAACCAAGGATGACTTATAGCTTTGAGACTGGACAGCTAGAAGGATGGAGTTGCCATCGACTGAGATAAGAATGCTTCAGATAAACAAATATGGAAGAGAAGAATGGAGTCCAGATTTGGACATGTGGAGTCGAAATGTCTACTAGACATCCAAGTGTCTTCACATAGATGGACATCCAAGCTTAAAGTCCAGGACAGGTCGGGCTCAGGATATCCATTTGAACATCATCTATATATCGATGGCATTTAAATCCATTAACTCCAATTACCCTCCATTCCTTACCCCTTCTACACACACCTTGTTCTTTCCCACCTCTACTTTGTCTTCTGCCATGCCTAATGCCTACAAGGCCTTTCTCCCTCCTCCTAACCTCCACATCCATTTAAATTCAGCCTAAGTCCCAACCTTTCCCACAAAGTTTTCATCAACAAACCAAGTATACTCTTCCCCCAGCCCCTACTCCTTCACATGTGAATGTCTTGGTTCTCTCACTAAAACAGGCTGTCTTTGAGGACATCTGTTACATGTTCTAAACTTATTTTGCATCCCTGTGGCATAGAACCCCAGACTTTGCACTAAAGTCAATGCCAATGTACATAAGACTGATGGTTTTATGGCAAAACTTCAGAAGTTTTGACCTACCTGTTTGCTATCCCATGAACTTTATTCCTCTATTAATCACACATGGTTATTTGTTAAACTTATGTAGAATAAGTGTATTTCCTCTAGGCTTTTTGGCATACACGTAAAGCATAAATAGATAATTCAGACTGAAATCATCAATTAAAAAGCCCTTGGGAAAACTGAAACCAAGACTGTCTGCAAACACACAAAGGATCAACCTGGACCTCTTCAACTTGCCCCCGAACTCCTCAGACCTAAGTCAGATGTTCCCCATTTTGCTCAGCTAGGAATGCCTAGGTTAGAGCTGACCTCCACCTCCATGAGGAAATTTATAAAATCCTTACTCTTATGAATATCTGTGGTTCTCAAACTTCAGAGACTGTCAGAATCAACTGAAGGGTCTGTCAAAACATGACTGCTGCGCCTACCCACCCTGAGTTTCTGATTCAGTACATCTGAAGCAGGACACAAGAATCTGCATTGTTTAAACATGTTTCCAGCCAATGCTGTTGCTCCTGGTCTGGAGTTCACACACTGAGGATGCTGGTGCATAGTCTCACTCTGACTTCTATCTGGCTTTGACTCATGCCTTGTTCTGACTTTTAGTGCTTGAGTCATTCTCCTACTCCGGGCCACTGGATGGGCACTAAAGACGTCTGAGTCACTGACCATGCCACCTGGGCACCACCCCTTCCCTGCCCTTCTTTATTCCAGGCTGAGGGTCTCAGAGCCAACTTGTGACTTTGACCCCAATTTCTCACTTCCTCTTCAAGATCTCCTTCCATCATTTTCTCCCTCTTTCCTAGTTCTTTAGCCCCTCCCTCTTGGGGTTCAGATGCCCTCAAGTATCCCCTACCCATGAATTCATTAAGTAGACATAAAAACATAAGCAAACCCTCCTTGACCCTGCTGTTTTCTCCAATTATCATTCCAGTCTTCAGCTTCCCTTTCTCATTCGGACTTCATTAGGAAGTAGTCCCCCTCCTTGTTTCTACCCTCACCCTTGACATTATTACCTGGCTTCCAGCTACCCCCTGCTTCCAAACTTGCCCTTGCTAAGTCGGCACCAATCACTGAACTGAAAGCAATGGATGCTCTGCTTCCTTATCTTCCTGGACAATTCTACTGGACCTCATACTTTCTCCTTCTTTCTTGAAATCCCTTCACCCAAATTCTGTGATGCTTTATTCCCCTGTCTTATTCTGTTTTTTCTCCAACCATTTCTTCTTCATTAGGATTCTCCTCCTCTGACAACCCTTCAAATGTGGATATTCCCCAGGCTTGCATCTTTAGCCGTTTAGCCCAGAACTTCCCATCCAGTGTGTCAGGAACCAGCATTGTTGGAGTTCCCAAGATATTGACCCTCTCAGCCATTGGGAGTCGCCTGGCCCATTGATTCCAATGTGCCAGATACGTATGGTTTCTCTGTGCACCATTTTACGACTCTGCATTTCAAACACTCCGCCAAGAGAGCTCATTCTCTTTCCTGGTTTCATTAACATCAATATTACGACTATAACTCAATCAATCAATCAATCAATCAATCAATATTTCTTTTTTTAATTACAATGGCTCTGAAACTTATGTATGCAACTTATATATGAAACTTATGTATACAGACCAATGATGGAAGCCCAAGAATCACCCTTGAATCTTCCTTCTCCTTTCCCTCCTACATCTAAATAATTTCCAGATCTACTGTCTCCTTGCCGTCTGATCGACCACTAAGACCTCTTGCCTGGATTATCCTAGAATCCTCCTTACCGTTCTCCCTGTGGCTTCTTGATTTTTTTTAATTGAAGTATAGTCAGTTACAATTTCTGGTGTACAGCATAATGTTTCATACATAGATTCATTTTCATATTCTTTTTCAGTATAGGTCACTACAAGGTATTGAATATAGTTCCCTGTGCTATACAGAAGAAATTTGTTGTTTATCTATTTTATATATAGTAGTTAATATTTGCAAAATCTCAAACGCCCAATTTATCAATTCCCAATCCCTTTTGCCCCAGTAACCATAAGCTTGTTTACTGTGTCTGTAAGCCTGCTCCTGTTCTGTAGATGAGTTCATTAGCATCTTCTTTTTTCTTTTTTTAGATTCCACGTATGAGTGACATCATATGGTATTTTTCTCTCTCTTTCTTTCGTGATTCTTAAATCCATCCTTCACACAGCTGCCAGAAAAGTCTCTCTAAAATACAAATACAACTACACTACTCCCATGCTTAGAAGCCTCCTGGCTTACTGCCAACAGATGAAGTCCAGACTCCTTGACCCACAAGAAGCTTCCTGACTGAGTCCTATTAATTTCCTTCCCAGCCTCATTTTCTGTCTCTTTCTGTTCTTAACTCCAGCTCTTTGCCCATGCTGCCTCTATATCTGGAATGTTCTTGCCTATTTACCATCACACGTACCTCTTACCTCCACTATCACCTTGCCTTCCCTAACTCCCTCTCAACCCTCACAAGGAATTGACACATTCTGTGTTTTTCCAGATACTCTGTTCAGGCATATTTCTGTGATTGGACTTAGCACTTTTGCATTATGATTATTTTAAGTATTTCTCTCCTCCCACCAAATAGCATGTTCTTTTGTATCCTCAGCTCTGACACCATGCCTGACACATAAAAAAAAAAAATACTCACTAAATTATTGAGGAATAAATGTAGCCTTAGACTTTTCCCAAAACAATAAAGCATCACACACAATTCTAAGAGCAATGCTTGGATTCCTTTGGAACAAACATAAGATCATTAAGCTTTAAATTTGAGGCTGATTTGAAAGAAATTCTTCATGCTTTAATTAAAAAAATAGATGGACAAAATCTCGTCAAAACTAGACCCAAAGGACCAGTCAAATAACTTTCAGGTTACATGTAGCTTTATTTGAATTAAATAATAAATTGTCTTGAAACCTAGATTTTTTTTCCCCTTCATTTTGTACAGGCATTTTGTATTTAACTTGATAGTTTTCAAAGCATTTTCATATGCATATTTTATAAAATCCTGCCGTCAGGTTCAGAGAGATTATTATACCCACTTCACAGATGAAGAAAGCAGGGCCAAGAGACTGTGATTTTCCCAAGTCAGTGGCTAATCCAGCAGCTTCTGTCATCCCGTGCAACTCTCTACCTCTGATTTTGGTTTGGGTTTCTTCCTTTCTTCCTTTTATTCTTTTTGTAATGAGATTTGACTCATTAGTCAATCCTAGATTCACAATCCTTAGAGGCAGTGTTGCCAATTTCAGAACCTTGGGGAAATATATTTCTCTATAGTCCATTATTTCTGTAATTTCCTCATGGTGAAAAGAGTAGATTTCTATGGTTATTAGAGCTACAATCTGACCTAAATCTGGATCCCAGTTCAATTGCTTATTAACAGCTATGAGACGAATAACTTAGCCTCAGACCTCAGTTTCTTCATCTGTAAAATGGATCACATGGAGTAATTCATGTAAGTTACCAAGCACGATAATATCTTCAGTAAGTACATGTAGTAAGTGCTCAACAAATGTTTGTTAAAATGAAGGAATAACTCTTCCCTTATCCTTAGCCTAGTTTCACATCAGTAACTCATGTTGAATCAATGGATTTTCAAAAATTAAAAAATACTTAATTTAGTGCTATGAATAGGTAACAACTTTCTCCTTTAGGACAGTACCTTCTTAAAACAGTACAGTTGACCTGCTCACCCAACATCAGGTTGAATATGATGCAGCAGGAATATGTCACTCTGTAACATGAATCATGCAAATCTAACTTTTGCAACGTGGCCTAAGGATTATTTCAAGTTGCAGTCAATTCCTGATCTTGCAATTAAAGCATAAATTATAAATGTTTCTGGAGTAAATCTTAGCAAATCAAGAGTGCAAAAAAGAGGACACTTTGAGGAGCTGTTGTGTAAAAGATGAAAAAGTGTTTCTTTCTCTTAAGCCAAACTTGGATCAGTCTCCCTCAAAGACCAGGAGATAAGACTAAATGACCTCTGCTGAAGCCACTTCAAATTCAAGTCTGTCATTCTAACAAGAAAATATCATCATTGTGATTAGCCCTTGCATCAGTCCCTGGAGAGATTAACCTAATTACGCCATCCACATTTGATTGTTACCATTTCATTTGCTTAAGTCCCAGGAGACTACAGCAAACGAGTGTATCAAGGCGTGAGAGTGAAGCACACAGTCAAAGATCTACTGGCAGAAAAACGATCCAGGCAGACAAGTAACTCAAGATTTAATGTAAGTCTCAGTTGAGTGCATTCTGAAGTCTTTGGGGATTTAAGTCCTCTATTATACTTAGTCGTCTCTCCTTTCCATTTATCCTCCCACCGATCTCTCACCTCTTGAGTCTGATATTCTCCATAGCAAAGCCCCCCTTTAACTGCCACACACTGTATAACCACTGTTACTAATGTTTGGCACACCTGTCAATCTGCAAGCACGGAATTCAAGAGCTCTGTGAATTTACTGGCTGGCAGCTTCAGCTAGAGGTCATGAAAGATTGACGCATCCCTGACTTTTTCATTTCTTCCAGTCGTGAATTAACAAGTGCTCGGTTGGTGGGAATAATGCCGACCTTCGTCCACATGTTATTCTAAATCTAAGAGAGACAACTTGGAAAAATGTTTCTATAACATGCAAAATCAGATTTTAAAAATCCTAGTAGGATATGTCTTAAGTCTGAAATCGCTATCTGCCATCCTTTTCTTCACAAATAGTTCCACTCCATGCCGAAAATGTGTAAGTAGTGACAGCCAGATTTCCAAAAATGATTCTTGAATAGAAATAGCAGTAGACTAGCAAGATAGGTATATAATCACTTACCGCAGTAGGTACAACAGAACGGCAGGAATGTCAGGCATCTGCTGGACATTGCTGGGGACAGGACCGCAGAGCAGATGACCGGGAATAAGTGAGGTGACCACATCCAGCACTTAGCACAGGGGCTCATACACAGTGGGATCTGACTGTCCCAGTGTGTTCTGCTCAGATTGTCAGCATCATGTTCAGCACCGCTCCAAAATAAAACTCCTGGGACGTGTGTCAGGTGAACCAACTCCAGATTCAATTTCCTCCAAGAACACCTATCATTTGCATATTTTTGTTGTCTTCCTATCTTTTAAACCACCTCTTCTGTCTTTTTTTTTCAATTGAAATATGGTCAGTTACAATGTGTCAATTTCTGGTGTGCATCATAATGTCCCAGTCATGCATATATATACACATACACACACACACACACACACACACATGCATTCTGAATGTATGTATATATATTTGTTTTCATATTCTCTTTCATTAAATATTATTACAAGATATTGAATATAGTTCCCTGTGCTATACAGAGGAAATTTGCTTTTTATCTATTTTTATATATAGCCACCTCCTCTCTTCCAGTTCACCAAAAAGAGCTCAGCTGATAAAAATCAGAGTGACTGGCTCCTTGTCCGTTCCTAGTGCAGTGTTTCCCCTAGTGCCTGCTCAAAAGCATCTGGGGTGTGAGCTACAACATCTATACCAATCTGGATCTTGAGAGAAAGGGAGAGAGATAGACACGGAGAAACAGAGAGAATTCAGAATCTGCTCTCCATGAACCACAGCGGCATAGATGTAACGTGGATTGCTTGTCCACAACTGCAGCTAGAACTGTGGAAGTTGACAGAAGTTTCAGACACACTGCTAGCTGGGAAGACAAAAGACAATGAGGATAATGCCACAGGCAAGGAGCAGACAGTGCACCTTCCCCCTGTGAGTGACAATATAACTGTCTCCTTGGCATCTCCATCAACACACATGCATAATGATAAGGCCCTCTGCCAGATGGAATTACATAACAAGACAAAAAGTGGATGTAAATATATGTAAATATATTTGTAACACCTAACATGATTTCTTGCTTAAGATCTGTGACTATCAAAGAATATGTTTTCTCAGTTTTTAATGCTTTTACTTTTTAAAAGATATAACAATATAAACATAACTAATAATAAGTCATATTAGTTGATTTATTTTCAAATGCAGATTCCCGTCCCTGCTAACATGGAGTTATTGTGCTGGGGTCAGGGAACGGTCATTTTTAGCAAGCTCTTTGGGTGATTTCTTTGCACATCTTAGTATGAGCTCTTTACCGTGGAGCAAAGAGCAACTGTCAAAACCCCACACTAGCCAAGATTCTTATCTCTACCCAGATAAGAATTTGCTGAGCATTGCTGCTGGCCCAGTGGCACTGCAAATACTATACAAAAGTGGGTAACGTGTGATCCATGGTCTGTGCCATTAAACACTGAATAAACTGGTGGAAAGGAAACACACTTACACATTTGAAAAACACAAGACCATGTAACCAAGCGCTCCACTGAGTGCTGAAGACAGAAGTCCAGGCAACACAGCCCCTGTGATGGTGTGATGGGAAGACTACTTACACAAGTGCAGTTTAAAGTGGACTTCCTTATGTGTTGCCTCATTTGATTGAAACGCTAGCCCTGTGAGATCGATATTTACATGGCTTTCCATTTTACAGATGAAGAAGTTGAGAACAAAAGGAGAGAAGTGATTGTTGGCAAGTGGTAGTCAGCAGTGGCAGGTCCTCTGACTCCTAATTCCATTACCCCTTCTAAAGGGAAAGACGGATGTGCACTGGAGGAAAGCAGACTGATTTGGGCTGCCTTCATTCATTTGGACTGCCGTCACAAAGTACTGTGGACTGGGTAGCTTATAAACAGCAAACATTAATTTCTCACAGTTCCGGAGGCTAAAGGTCCAAGTTCAAGTTGCCAGCATGGTCAGGTTCTGAAGGCCCTTTTCCAGGTTGCAGACGTCTCCCTGTATCCTCACGTGGTGGGAGGGCCTAGGGAGCTCTCTGGGCCCTTTTATAAAAACATAATCCCATTCATGAGGGCTCCACCCTTATAACCTAATCATCTCCCAAAGGCCCGTAATACAATCACACTGGGCCTTAGGATTTTGACATGTATTTTTGGGAGGACAAAACATTAAGACCACAGCACATGCAAACAAAGGCAATCAACGGGGGAGGGTATAGCTCAGTGGTAGAGTGTATGCTTAGCATGCATGAGGTCCTAGGTTCAATCCCCAGTGCCTCCACTAAAAAGAAAAAAAATGTAAACCAAAGTATAACAAAACATATCATATAGAAAGATCTGGAAAGGTGCAAACCAGCTCTAACTAGGAGCTGCTTTCAGCCATATGGTACACAGGCAGTATGAAAAGCTTTAATGTCATGATCTCATGTATTACTCAATGTCTCACTGCCAGTATCCTCATTTCAAAGACCTTCTACATTTGGGTGATTAAATGCATATAGTCCCCAACCAAATGTGGTTATTTGGACTGTAGGTATTCTCCATGAATCGGTTTTACTATCTACTTGCTGATGTTTCATCTCAACCACTATTATGGGATATAATATCCCAAGAAACGTACCGTATTAATTAGCCTTTGACTCTTGAGGACTTTTTCTGTCCCTGCTGCAAACGCCAGCCCCTAAAGAGCAGGAATCGCAGATACTCACATGACTGGCCACATTGATGAGGTTCTAATTGCATGGGTGACACTGACATGACCTCTTTTTAATATCACTTCACTATGTGACCATGAGTCTGATCTCTTGGAGAAGTTCTGCTAGGAAAGCCATCCTTAGACACATGCAAAACTGGCTACTGACAACATGGGGGAGAACCAGTCAAAGGCTAACTTGAGGAGATTGGAGGCCCCTCCACACGGTTTTACTACACATAGTGTGCTAGGGGAAAAAAAATGGACCCCCAAAGGTCCCACGTCAAAGCCCTGGAACCTGTGTATGCTGACTTACAGGCAAAGTATCGGTTATGTTAAGGATCTTGAGAGGAGGCGCTGACCCTGGAAGAGGTGAGCCCTAAATGCAATCACACGTGTCCTTAAAAGAGGGAGTTTTGAGAGAGACACACAGACAAGTGAGAGGGCATACAAGAGAGGAAGAGGCCATGTGACCACGGAGGCAGAGTTGGGGCCATGTGACCGCAAATCAAGGCAGGCAGGCAGGCAGCCAGCCACCAAAAGCTGGAAGAGGCAAAAAGTGGACTTTCCCCTCAAGGCTCCATTGGGCCATGGACTTGCCAAGACCTCGATTTGGACTTCTGGCCTCTAGAACTATGAAAGAATAAATTTTGGTCTTTTAAGCCACCCAGGTTGTGGTAATTTGTTCCAGCTGCCCTGAGAAAGTAATACAGAGATGTTATGAAAACTGCACGCCCCTGGAGAAGCTTTCTTTAGGAAGCACCTGTCTGATGCCCAGGTTGCTGCTCTGCCCTTTGTGACAGCACATCCATAAGTTTACCCAGGTTATATTGATCCATCTTTACCACAATTTCCCACGTGAACATCTGTTTTTGATGCTATGAAATGTTTTTCACATTTGTGCAGTAGAAAGTAAAAGACAAAAATCTCCTGCATCCAAAGAGACTTTCACCAAAGACTGGACTTAAAACCACTTCTAAAAATTTTTTTTAATTAAGTTTTTTTTTAATTAAAAAAAATTTTTTTTTAATTTTTTTAATTATGCACATTTTAGCCATAATCCTGTGGTTTCACAACTATTAACATGGATATCTGTTTTTAAATCATTTTTCTCTTTCTTTTTCAAATTTTTCTGTGTTATTCTTTACCAGACTACTACATCTTCTACCAGAACATTTAAAATTTGAGACACTCACCAACATTTAGTACCAAAAGATATATAGTCAGGCTTTTGACATCAGTCTATGCTGCATTGTTTTCAATTACACTATTTCAACAACATTCCGTAAAAACTAATGATTGAAAATTTTTAATAACATCACAAAATTCGGTGAACTGTCAGTTATCTATAGTAAAATTAAAAAGAAGAAAAAGCAGTAGGCGTAATAGCCACAAATTTTTATTGACGTATAGTCGATCTGTTTTTTTTATTGAAGTATAGTGGATGATGTTCTGTTAATTTCCAGTGTACAGCATAGTGATTCATTTATACATATGTATATTCCTTTTCCTATTCTTTTTCATGATAGGCCATTACAAGGTATTGAATATAGTCCCTTGTGCTGTACAGTAGGTCCTTGTTGTTTATGTATTTTGTATACAGTAGTTAGTATCTACAAATCCCGAACTCCCAATGTATCCTTTTCCACTCCCTTCTCCCCTTGGTAACCAAGTTTGTTTTCTGTGTCTGTGAGTCTGTCTCTGTTTTGTAAGTGAGTTCATTT